GGGGGGAATGGCCACACCGCAATCCCTTCTCCTCCATTCTCTTCTTGGGGTTTTGGGCATGCACATATGTGCACCAAGCTGATTTTCAAGCTGCAGGAGTCTGGAACTCAAAGCTCTGTAAGCCATGTGAGTCCAACACTATAACCACCATGCCACTTTCTGTCCTCCTCGTTTTCTTGCCTGAAGAGAGGATGGAAATTCTCCATCAGGCAGTCTTTATCAGCCCAGAATGGGGCCAGAGTCTGTGAGCAAACTTCCTCTCCATTTGTGTCCTCCCATAAATTTGCCTTCCCACATTTTCCCACCTTTGGAAGCCTTAGACTGCTGCCCTTTGTCCTGTCAGTTCTGTAAAATGTGTTATTCCATGTTGGAGGGGATATATAAGCCAGACTCTCAGCCAGTACTTTGAGTTGCTTTTTACTGAGGTTCCTCTTACGGGAATGCACTGCCCATGTTAACGAACTTGCTTATTTTTCTCTTATTAACCTGTCTTTTGCTGCAGGAGTCTGTCCCAACTGTGAATCAAAGCAAATTATGTTTTTTTCTTCTTCTTCATATACAAGGGCACAAGGGCTAATGCTCTGCAAGAGCACATGCCTTTGAGCCTGGTACCCTTCCCAGGCCATGTTTAACCAGAGAAACACCCATCAGTTATCAGGCCCAGTGCCAAGGGGCTCTGTGCCCTGAAAAGCAGTCTCGAACAGGTGGTGCAGTGGTTAAGGCACTAGACTCCCACATGGCCAACTGCAGTTCAAGTTCCAAACCTTCTGGCTTGCTTTCTCACTTTCTCTCTCTCTGAATGCATGTGCTCTGTAGCAAATTAAAAAATAATAATGATAAATTTAAAAATTAAAGAAGTAAAAAAAGGTATTTCTGAGTAGGCCCTCTATTTAAAGTTAATGCTAGATTATTTATAGTTTTTCTGTCATGTTATATTCCCTCCTTACAAACTCCTTGCAAATCCCTTAACAAGTGATCATTTACTGATTATCAAAAGTTTAAATAAATGACAACCCAATTTTTACCTTTCATTTTGAATGTTGGGGTCTTATTTAATATACCTGAAGGCTGTCTTTTAACATATTTCGGCCTTTCAGAACTTTACAGACTCTTTGATAGAACTTACATCTTAAGCACAATACTATATTAGAAGTATATGAAAATCAATTTTAAAAAGCACTATCACAACAGAGTAATGTAGCAAAGGCACAAAGAAAGTAATGCTGTAAAGAAAATAAACAGGTTCTACATCAACAATTCTAAAGATCTTGTTTTTAAAGTGTTAATAGGTTCCTTTCCCTGAATCAAAACAGTCATATTCACGTATTTTTTCATTTCTTTTAAAGGAGACAAATCTACTTTAAGCATATTTTAAAATATTTTTAAAGAATTACTTATCATTTTATTTTCATACTGCGTGCAGGTGGATAGATATTCTTTCTTGGGAAATTTATCTACTACAAGTCCTTCTTGGATATCAGCTATTACTCAGAATATTTTAAAGTTCTGGTAAGTTCACTGCCATTCCAATAAAGAGAGCTAAGAGTCTTATCCAAGCAGCTGTGGTTCCTATTTGAATTTTAGCCTAGATTATTAAAACCTCAAACCACAAAATCCCCCTAGGAAATCTTGCATAAGCATTGTTCTCATTGAAAAGGGCCAGGATCAGAAAGGAAGCAGGAGGTTCATGCTTTAGTTGGCTTTAAAACATCAAAAAACCAAGTGGTCAATTCTCCTTCAGATGTGTGCTCATGGCCCCTTTTAAAGGCAATAGAAATTATATGTGTGGATTTGGGGAGAACATACCCCCAAGTAAGTAAATTAAGAAATGCCAAGAACAACCAAATTTCTTTACTTAAAAAAAAAAAAGTTGGCTTGAACAATAGTTATTTTAAAAAATAATTTTGCACAATAATATGTCAAGTAAATTTATTCATCTGAGATAGGATTTCTATGACCAATGTGCAGGAAAGACTTTTTAAAAATACTTTAACCATATTTCTTCTCTGGTTTTGACCAGAAAAATACAGTTGCTAACCTATTTTTGTAAAAATCATTGTTTATGTTTCTCAAGCAAGTATCTCATAATTCAAAAATTGGTTATTTTTCCACCTAGGGGCTGATGGGAACATTCTCAACGTGTTGGTAGCATCGTGTGTAAAGCAGCATTTCTGTGGCCAGAGCTGGTGGAAAGGTAATGCCTAAGACACAGATTTTGTCATTGTGGGAAGAGGAACTATTCTTGGGTATCCATAGGAATGTGTCTGATAGACAGTATTAATTTAGCAGAGGAGAGGCAAGAAAGGAAGGAATGGATAAGGGAGTTATTTTTGAGGAAGTGGGTAGGGAATTGTGCCGAGAATACTCCTTACTATATCCAAACCCCAGAGGTTTACTAAACAGAAATTTAAATCAAAAGGCAAACAGGATGTTCAGCTGGGATGCATTTTTGGACACATACTTCTAATACCACATGAAAGCTGCACCATCCAGATGTGAAAGCAATACAATTTAAACAAAAAAACAAACACCAAAGTAAGAAGAGAAATTGGCTGATAGCCTTCAACACGGAGCACTTCCTCAGCGAGGGGCCTGGATCACAGACTGAAAGGTTGACTGGGAGGAAGGGGTGGGGGCAGGTCCTCCAGGCCTGCGTTTTCTCACAATGGGAGACATAAAATAGCAATCTGGTTCTAGGAAACAGTGAGCTTTGGCAGCCTTGGCTTTCTGGATTTCTTAAATTATCTATTTTAAACTGAAGTGGAAACTTATTAAAGCCAGCACTTCAGTATCAGATGAGCTGCAGGAAGGAAAGCAGAGAAAAAATGGTTAGTACATATTGTACCCTGACCATTCTCAGGCAAAAAGTGAATAACAATTCCTGTGAGCTACCTAAGGCTAGTCGCCCTATCAGCAGTATGAAAGGATAATGTTCTTATGCCTTCTAATTTGCAAATAATTAAGCTTTTGTTAAGGCTTAAGTAAAATAGGACCTAATAGCGTTACATAAGATGGTTGTGTTTTCCACATACTTGAATGGGAAATTTTTAGGGTATCATTTGATTCTTTTATATTTATTTATGTGTTGTTTTTCAAGTTTTTTCCATAGGGTGTGTGTGCTCACTGGAGAGAGAGGAACAGATGGAGACAGAGAGAAAGAAAGCAAGAAATCAACTCCCCAGGGGCATGGCCATGCCACAGTCCCTTCTTTTCCATTCTCCTCTTGGGATTTTGGGCATGCAAGCATACGCACCCAGTGTGTTTCAAGCCACCATGTCATGGCTCAAACCTCACTCAGCCTTAACCACCACGCCACATGCTGACCCCCATTTGATTATTTTTAAAAGATTTCTTTTTAAAATACGTTTAACTTACCAGTGAGAGGTAGGTAGGCAGGCATAAAAGTCATTCCTTGAGTTTCATGTGTTCTAAAATAGCAAAATTGAAGCACTTAAGTTCTCCATACCTAGGTTAATAAATAAAATTCTCAAAATCCAAAGCCCAATAATAATGTCTGAGCCTCCTCTCTGGGTTGTGGTAAACCATGGCAGATGATGTCTTCTCAATTTCTAAAGTAGCTGTCATTTTTCTTTTTTCTTTTCTTTTTTTTCTTTTTTTCTTTTTTTTATTTAGAGGTTACATATGCTGCTGGAGAGAACAATAAAAAGAGGGAGAGGAAGAACGCACACCCTATGGGTGTGGTCACACCATAATCCTTTCTCCCGTGTTCCCATCCTTTTGGGATCTGGGGCATGCACACACATGCTCCTGGCATATTTTCCAAACCACTGAGTCCAGGACTCAAATCACTTGGTTAATCATGTGGGACGAGCCTCTCTTAACCACCAGTCCACAGGCTGGCCCAATTTGTTGGATTTTATTTGAATATGACAGTCTAAAATAGGTGTCTACCCATTTGTATTGGTTCCTCTTAGTCTAGTTTTAGATATCAATAATAAAGAATAGAGAGTCTTGCTTTATTTAAACATTTTTTTCTTTAAGCCTTATTCTGTGATATTCTTAAAATTTAAGGTGCAAAAATACTTAAAGTAAAAAAGTTATAAGGTATTTTTGACAGGAACCAAGTCATATGTCTTATATCCTGGAAGAAAGGAGAAAAGTTGGAAGGACCAACTTATGAAACACAATATGTATATTAAGGGAAATTGCAAATAAGTCTGATGGGCAGTGATATGTAGGCAGAAAACTGTATGGTGAGGAAGCATCTATCAATAGATAAGCCAGGCAGATCAAACAGCTGCTGGTTGAGAAGCTCATACTGTATCCTGAGAGTCATGGGGAGCGTGGGGCAGATGTTAGATGAGAAGTAAAACACTAACAGGTCACGCACCACTAATCCCAAATCCAAACTCTGAAACTTTTCAAGCACCAACCTGATGCCACAAGTGGAAAATTCCATACCTGAACTCATGTGACATGTTGCAGTCAAAAACGTTACAATACAAAAATGCTATATAAAATTACTTTCAGGCTATGTGTATCAGGTATATATAAAACAAGATATCCAAATATTTGCTAATCTAAAAAGAAATTAGAATCCATACAACTTCTGGTCCCAAGCATCCCCAGTAAGTAGTATTCAGTCTGTACCTTTCTGCTTTTATAAGACTACTCTGTACAAGGTAGTAAATGTAAACAAGAAATCTCATACAGATGGCTTTAGAAGGCTACTGCAGTAAATAAGAAAAAGGGATAAAAACAGGGCTGACTGGGTTAGCAGATGGCATGGTGGTTAAGGCACTAGATCCCACACAGCTAATTCCATGGTTAGAGTCCTGGACCTGGCAGCTTAAAACACATGCCAGGTGTGTGTGTGTACATGCTCAAAACACCTAGAGGAAAATGGAAAAGGGATTACAGTGTGGTCATCTCCTTGAAGGGTAATTTCTCACTCTTCCTCTTTCCCTGTCTCTGTCTTACTCCAGCAAGTACACATGCCCTGCCCTATGGCAAAAATCTAAAAATAAATAAATAAGTAAATAAATCAAAAACAAAAACAGCTAATAGAGGGAGTAAGGATGAGATGGGTGAGAGATATTAAGGATATTAATGTATCTTGGACTTTATGGAAATGCAAAGAAGCACACAATTTGGCTTTATTTTACTTTTTTATTTATTATCATCATAATCTTGTTTATGTTACATTGAATCACATATAACTTTACAGTGTATTACATTTCTTTTTCCAGAAGGAATACCATGCATATCAGTCAATACAAAGACATTAAAATCCCCATCATCATCATCCAATAGCTTTTTATTATTTTTCCTGATCATTATAATCACTATTAGTATTCTGATTATTTTTTAAACAGTCAATTACTATTTCTCATTTTCCTTGTAAAAATACTTTACCCAAAATGAAATACTTCTCAGAACAATCCAGTTGAGAATACACATCATCATGAACAGGTAATAAACCATATCTGTGTCCTATTAATATCATGCCTCTCTATTCTCTTGTTATCTTTCTCTATACTCTTCTCTTCTCCCACCCACAACTTTGCTTTGATTGAATGAATTCTTATGGTCAATCATTTCATTATCTGATAATGAAAATTGAATGTGGAGGAAAAATTTGGGAAGGAAGGGAAGATGAGTTTAATTTGGAGAATATTAGTTTGAACTTGAGATACCTTTGGAACATTCCAAGGGAGATTTCCAGCAGATTATTTGATATGTATTTACAACTCTTAGGAAAGAATATATACATTAAATTATATATTAGGGATTCATCAGTGTTTCTCTATCTAGATGAACTATTTTTGTTCAAGAAAAAGATATGGTTGAAAGGAAAAGAAGACTTAAAGTCTGTCAGAGGAAACAGAGTTCATAAAGGGCTCTGAGGAATCTTGGCCAGAGTTCTGGGATAAAAGCCAGATCATGGAAGTATCTATGATGGTTGAGGAGACTCAAGAAAAAGGTAAAGAATTATATACCAAATGCTGTAAAGATGTAAAGTAAGAATAAAGATAGAAAAGCGAACTATGAATGGCACCTGTGGGGACCTTGACAAGGAGTGATTTCGGGGAGCAACAGAGGATGGAGCCATGTCTCAGTGGATTGAGGAGTTGGGGCAAGGACGAAGTAGAAAAAGCAAGAATGAGCAGCACTTCAGACTCATCTAGTAAAGATCTGGAAGGTGGGAAATGGCACAGTGCTTATACCGTAGGCAGAAACAAGATGGGGGAAGGCTCCCTAGGTGTGGTGAGTGATTTACTCATGCAATACATAAGTAGGCAAAATAAATAAATAAATAAATAAAGAGGGTCTAATGTACAATAGCAAAATTATGTGCTATGAGGCTGGACACCTGGGTTTGAATCCCAGCTCTACCACTTACTGGCTAACTATCCTTGGACAAGTTACTGAATCTGCCTATACTCGGTTTCCTTGCCCCTAAAATTTAAATAGTATATCTATTTATTTATGGATTGATTGCTGGAGGGCACATGTGCTCACATGAGACAGAGAGAAAGAAAGGGAAACTGAGAAAGCACCCCCTATGGGAGATGATTACTCCATAATCCTATTTCATCCCTTCCTTCATCCCTTCCTCCCTTTGAGAGTTTGGTCATGCACACACATGTCATGTGTTTGGTCACGTCCGGTATGTTACTCAAGTTGCTGGACTGAGGACTTGAACCACACAATTGTCCATGTAGGATCCAGCTGCCCCAACCACCATGCCACTGACTGGCCTGTATCTATTTATTAATATTGTGTAGGTGAATTACATGAGGTAAATGCCAAGTGTTTAAACTGTGACATACTAATATTAAGCAGTAAATAAATTTAACTCTTATTAGTTAAAGTTCCTAGTGACCAACAATTAGTTTGCATAGGACAGAAATGTAATAAATCAAGCTAGTTTGCTCCTAGAATCTCTGGAAGGGGCAAAGAGTCCAGTCTGGAGGCCACACATCCAGGAACAATAACCAATGACAAAACAGGACTTCTCGGGTGACTGCCCTATGCCATGGTGACAGCATGGATAATGATCACACAGCTTGCAGCAATGTCATTGGTAGGACAAGTACTTAATGTCGATGGGAGCTAAAAGATTTGAAAAGTTTATTTCTCTCAACCAGGTCTGGCTTTCAAAATGTCGGTCTTGCTGTAGACTCAGATATTTTATTCTGGAGTCAAATGTTGAGCAGTGACTGTTTCCAACTCAGTTTAGGCCAGCTTCAACTACTCCAGTCTTCCCAACGCAAACAGATGACTGGCAGAAAGGGGAAAAAGTATTACTCAGGAAGTGCCAAAGAGAAAAGAACATTAGCCTCTTAAAAATATTACTGCGATTCTCCATGAAAGCAACATACCATGTTTATATACTAGGAGTAGCAGGCAAATAGCTGGAAGGAGGCTAAGTTCTACCGGAGAGAGCCAATTGGTAAGTTGAGTTGTCCATGGCAGAGAATATAGTATCAAATCATAATTGAATGAATTTGTCTTAAATGAAGAGAGAACTCTTCTACTGAAATAGATGCTTGGAATAAGAAATCATTGCTAGACCGCCTTCCCATTGTCAAAATGTTCTAATCCTCCGTGTGTGTTAATTTACTAAGTTACATGATTCTAACAAGGAGTGAAGGACAATGTTAACAAATGTGAATGCTATGTAAAATAATTGGAACAAAATGAGGATAAGAAGAATGGAGACCTGTAATGCACAACAGAGTTACTTTAAATGGGATGCCCTTGCTGTTAAGAAAATTTCCTGTTCTCTTGTGATCCTCCCTTCAAACAAATGCAAGTCATTTTATTAGAAAAATTATAACCCTGATCATTTGCAACATAGCACAAGTGTCTTATTGTTTTTGCTCAGATGAGAACATTAGCCAGACCCAAAGTCACATAAGTGGCCTATTCTCTGCATTAGCTGGTTTGGGTTTTAACCAGGACAGATGCCTTGTCTTGTATTTTCTTTCACTGTTTCCTTTTATTATGTTTCCTTTAATGTATTTTTTTAATTCAACTTTAGAGATGGAATATGGCAACCAGATTTTAGACTATTAGCTCATTCAATAGGAAATATATATTCCTGTTTCAAACAGCGCATCTGTCTGCTCTTAGGAATGTTAAATAATAACAATAGCACAACTACAGGGCAGCTTAGGATAGGAAATGAAAACCACCACTGAGTTCTGAAACACTTGGAAGGACACTCGAGGCGGAATGTAATTAAGTAGTTGGAATTTGTGGTTTAGGCCACCAAGGTTAGAAATATGTCTCCCGAGCAGAGTACTTTAGATTTTTCAAAGGTCAGAAATATTGGCAAATAGAGTAAGATGATCAGAGCATCCCCTCTCCAGGGCTTCCACCATAAATATTGATTCTGTGATTTATGGGAGCATCTGTTCCCTCAGCTAAAGCCAACAAGGTGAGGAGAGCACGTCTTCCTGGGACAAGAGAGTACTCTTTGTGCCCCATTCCAGGACATCTATTTCAGTTACTAAAGAAGCCATCTTTCTGCCTTCTCTGCTCAACTGAGAAAAACAAAACAAAACAAAACAAAAGCAAAAACAAAAAAACCCACAATATTGTACCTGTATTTGGTGAGAAGACAGAAGTGAGAATAACACAAAAAGAAATCTTATTGGAGAACCATTTTACTAATACCACTCTATTTCTTTCTTCTCTCTGTGTCAACCAAAATACACAGTATGAAATAGATCTGGGTAGTGCAATCATGCAAACACAATATAAAATAAAGCAACACTCACTTCTTACTCTGAGCTTAGAACTGAGAAAGGTGAGACTGAAATACCTATGAGAAGAAGGAAGTAATACTAATATTGCAGTGTGACTTTACGTTGTGGGCTTCGGAGTCATCCCCCCAAAGTAGCTGGTACTAACCTCTGGACAGTGAATGTGACCTTACCTGACTGATGAGGTTTCACAGATGTGATTAAGTTAGGGATCTTGAAATGAAGAGATGACCCTGGATTATCCAAGTGAACCATAAAATGACAGCAACAGGATGCTTATAAGAAGGACTTGGAGGTGTGACTACAGACAGAAGAGAAGAAAAGAAGGAGTTGTGATGAAATCCAGGGAAGCAGAGTCAGAGGTTGGAGAGCCCATGTTGCTGGCTTTAAATATCCAAGAAGAAGCCACAATCCAAGGACTGTAGAAGGCCTGGAGATGCTGGAAAAGGCCAGCAAGCTGATTCTGTCCCAGATCCTGCAGGGGAGTCTGGCCGCTGACAATTCAACTTCACCCAGTAAAACCATTTAGGAGTTCCAACCTCTGGAACTGTAAGTAAATAAACATTGGTTTAAGCTGCACAGTTTGTGGAAATCTGTTACAGCAATCCATAGAAACTAATGCACCACACTGCCTTCTTCTGGTCTCCTTTCCTTTCTCCCCCTCTTTTCTTCTTCCTTCTTTCCCCACCCTCTTACCCCTCATTCCAGTCCATATGTCCTCTAATATCACCCCTTCCTCTATCCCATAACTTTATTATTACTGGAGGGTACATGCACTTACCAGTGAGAGAAAGAAGGAACTCTCAACAGGGTGTGTTTATGCCACAATCCCTCACCCCAGTTCCTCCCTCTTGCCAGGATTTTGGGCACACATATGTGCTCAGCATATCCTTCAAACCTCTGGTGCTGGGATTCAAACCATGGTAGGCCATATGAAATCCAACTCCCAGTACACCACACTCAACCACCTCATCGTGGGGCTGGCCCCAGGGACATAACTTCTGATCTCCCCATACCATCCCTACTGCCCCATCTTAAACATGCCTTTGCCTCTGTCTTCCTCATCATGGCAAATAATGCAAGTATCCATCGGTTTGCACATGGATGAATCACTGAGTCCTCTTTCTTCATTATTTGCAACACAGTTTATCTGCTAGCCCGTCAAACTACTTCCAAGAAATATCCTGAACCCTTCCAGATCTTACCTTCTCCCTGGCTACACGTCTGGTCTGAACTACCACTTTCTCTCATTTGACATCTGCACAAGCCCCATTCACCAACTACCATCAACCTTTATCCCAACCCAAACCATTCCCTAGACAGGAGCCAAAAAAATCTTCTTAAAGATCTGTAATTTCATCTTATTACTCCCCTGTATATAGCCTACCAAGATTTTACTTCAGAATGACTCTAAATCCACAGATTGCTTGCAAAGTCCTAAGTGATTCAACTCTTCTCAAATCCATCTTCCACTCAGATGTTATCCCATCTCTTTCTTTTGTCTTCTTGTAATACCCAACCACCTTGACCTTCTTTCTGTCCCTAGAGTAGGCTAGCACACATATTTGTAGATAGTCAATCATTTCCTGCCATTATTATTTTAAGTCACTGAACATTTTCTGCAGTCATTATATTGACGTATTTACTTACTTTTAAAATATTCTCCCTCTCCAATGACAGCGGGGACCTTTTTCCATGTTCATATTCACTATAGTCACAGTAATTAGTTGGGTAAAGATCCAACAAAATATTTGGGGAATAAATAATTGTCATTTCTTTACTTTGATTTATGTCACAATTTAAACTCATATTCTGGATTAGGAACAAATGGCATTTTTGACTTTTCATTAAAATTTGCTAAACTCAATGAAAATAGCACTATTATTATTGGTAGCCAAAGGAAACGTGGAAGCACAAACAATATTATGTATGAGACATAACATAAATACTTCTCTCAGATATAAACAGACTCTATTTTAGCTTCTATCTACCTCATGCCAACACATTAGATGGACAGTAAAAATAGCCAATAACTTTTCATTTTTCTAAATGACATAAAATGGATGTTTACATTGACATTTTATTTCATCTGGTCACTTGTATCATGTAGATTTTGCCTCTAGGATGTAAATGTAAATACAGTGAAATTTAGGAAACTTAATTTTAATCAATTTAGTCAGTAGGAAACAATCCAACTTGCCTTAGTTTTGTTTTTTCTTTGTTTGTTTGTTTTGGCATGTACAGACAGATAATCTGTTTTTTGTTGTTACTGCTTTGATGTTTCTATTTTACTTGTTTGTTTTTTACATTTCTTTGCTTATCAGACAATTGTATTGGGACCAGGTAAAACCTCCAGAATTAATGAGTTTGAAATTTTCATTTTGTACCTGAGTTTTAGCTGTGTACATTGACTTTATAATATTTCTCTATTTGTATTTCTAGAGAGAACTTTCAGGCACTCTAATAAATTTATTTCAAGATGAGAGTATATTATTCCATGTCAACTGAAGTATAACTACTTACTGCCTAAAAGATTTTAAAATTTATTTTACATTTCTCTCCATTCCCATTACTTAGTTTAGATTCTTACACAGTCCCACCTAGGTTAATAAAATATCTCCCAACTGGTTATTCTCAACTGCCTTTTCTTCAGTCTTCAATTTTCTATCCTACTTTCAGAGTAACCTACCTAATCACTATGGCATTCCCATGATTAGAAACATGCAATCACTTTATATTGCCCTTAAAATAAAAACCCACACTTTTTAATGTGTTTTATAAGGACCTCCATGAAAAATACTGGAAATTTCTCCAACCTCGTCTTTTTGCCTTTCTCTAGTTTAATTCAAAATAGAGCACTAAGAGTCTCCAAATTCATTGTAGTCTCTGGCCTCTACACAGATTCTCTCTGCCTGAAAATACTTCTTTAAAATAAAATATCTAGTGAGTGGTTGGAAAAATACATCTCCAAAGTCTCCAGGAGGTCTTAACTGGAGTCAAATGGGTAGAGAGTGAACTTAAAACCATGGATACAGATGAGGTTACACATAGGATGCATTTAAAGTAAGAAGAGGTTGAGGATGAAAAGCTAAGAAACACTGTTGTCAGTGGCTTTAGGAAAATGGTGAATTCGTCAATGGATATGAAGTTTCTTTTACACAGATGAATAGGTTCTGGAGATATTCTATACAATTTAGTACCTATATTTAATATACAACCATATGGTATATATCTAGAAAAAAATATGTTATGTTCCTACCAAAAGAAAGAAAGAAAGAAAGAAAGAAAGAAAGAAAGAAAGAAAGAAAGAAAATTACAGAAAAAGAGTGCACGCATGCGTCCAAAGTACCAAAAACAGAAGGGAGAAGTCGTTCCAGCGTGGCCATCCCGAGGTCTTAACTGGAGTCAAATGGGTAGAGAGTGAACTTAAAACCATGGATACAGATGAGGTTACACATAGGATGCATTTAAAGTAAGAAGAGGTTGAGGATGAAAAGCTAAGAAACACTGTTGTCAGTGGCTTTAGGAAAATGGTGAATTCGTCAATGGATATGAAGTTTCTTTTACACAGATGAATAGGTTCTGGAGATATTCTATACAATTTAGTACCTATATTTAATATACAACCATATGGTATATATCTAGAAAAAAATATGTTATGTTCCTACCAAAAGAAAGAAAGAAAGAAAGAAAGAAAGAAAGAAAGAAAGAAAGAAAGAAAGAAAGAAAGAAAGAAAATTACAGAAAAAAAACAAACAAACATGAACAACCAAAGAGAATACAAGGAAATTTTTGGAGGCAATGACTGTTTTATTACCTTAGTAGTGATGGTATCACAGATATGTATGTATTTCCAAGTTTATCAAGCTTATTATTTTTTTGTATATCAATTATACCTCAGTAAATCTTCAAAACAGTATGTTGAGAAAATAACCTCATGATTAGAAAAGGAGTGGCCAGAAAGGTGAAAGAAAAGAAAAATCAAGAATTGTGTACTGTCATAGAAACTTGACAGAAAAGAGTATTTCTAATATAAGGAAGTTGCCAAACAAAGCAAATAGGAAGAACAGAAAAATGCCATTTGGTTACGTGACAAGAAGATAGCTATATTTTCCATGAAACTGGAAAACTGAGGTAGTGAAGCTGGGAATTTAGAGTTGTGAGTCCAAATTTCAAGTGTAAAGTAGAGTAGATTTTAAAAAAGTGAAAAGCTAGAATATTGGTTGATTGAACAAATAGTAAGAGGTCCTTGGTAATGTGAGAAATTTCAGGTGAAGAAGAGAGCTACACTAATCATTCACTTAATGAGAAAGATTTCCAAAGGAGTCAATAAATCATAGACCCCAGAATGATGAATAAATATCACTGATGTTTGAGCTTCGAAGAACAGGAGGGTTTATATATCCATGAAAAATGATTATCTGACCTTGTTAATTTTGAGAAAGAAGGAAATCGATATTGTTTCTTTACCTGGGAGGGAAGGAGCAGTAAACACTATAAACTATGTTGATCTATATTATTAAATTCTGTCCAGAAATTTCCTTCTAGAATTATCATGAACCTGGAAGACATTATAAAAAGGGAAATTAGCCAGACACAGAAGGAAAACAATTGCATGATCTCATTTTATATATAGGCTCTAAAAAGGAGGTGATTACCTAGAGACAGAGAGGAGAATGGAGGTTACTAGGGGCTGAGAGGGAGAGGAAATGAGAGAAGGGGTTCAGAGTATATGACCTGCAGCTACTTGGGAAGAATAAGTCTAGAGATCTAAGATCTAGCATGAAGATCATAGTTAACATAGTGTATTATATTTTTTTAAAAATTGCCAAATTTAGGTGCTTTACAATGAAAACGAAAAGGTAATTATGGACGATGATGGATAGGTTAATTTGTTTGACTATAGTAATCATTCCTACTATGTATAGCAAAACATGCTATTCATCTTAAACATATATAGTAAAAACATCTTTAAAAAGAGTAACTTCTGGGGGCCAGCAGGTGACATAGTGGTCAAGGCACTGGACTCTCACATGGTCAACTGTGGTTCGAGTCCCAGACCTGGTGGCTTGAAGCACACTGCATACATGCATGTGCATGTCCAAAATCTTGAGAGGTGAATGGAGGAGAATGGATTGTGGCATGGCTATCCCCCTAGGTGTGTGTGTGGGGGGGGATGATTTCTCGCTTTTCTCGCTTTTTGTTTCTGTCTCTCCAGCAAGCACATATATTCTATAGGAAAAATGTCTAAAACAAACAAACAAACAAACAAACAAATGGAAAAAAGAAAAAAGAATACCTTTTTCTTTTTTTTTTTTTTTTTTAATTTAAAGCAGAGAGACAGAAAACGAGAAATCACCTCCCAGGGAGTATGGCCATGCCACAATCCTTTCTCCTCCATTCTCCTCTCAGGATCTTGGGCATACGCACACACACATGTGCCTGGCATGAGTTTAAGCCACTGGGTCTGGGACTCGAACCATGGTCAACTACATGGGAGTCCAGCGACATAGTCATTATGCCAACTGCTGGTCCCAACTATAACTTCTTAAATAAAGTGTATTTCATCTTAAATTTCCATTTGAAGGAAACATATTCAATTTTGTATAATAAACTATGGCAGTTACATCTCAACTACTCAGTACACTGTACTTTAGTCCATGGCACTGACACGTTTTTTTCTACCACATTCCTCCTTTTAAGCTGAGTATTTATGAGAAACAAATGTTTCTATTTAGACAAGACTATATCGCAGGGTCACTGGAAGATAGACTTTGGAGTTGGTCTGGGACTAGACACCAAGTTATCTTAGACAAGCTACTCAACTTGTCCATAAAGCTTCTCATAAGTAAAATGGGATTAATAAATCCTATAGTTTGAAGATTAAATAAAGCAATGTTTTTTTTTTTTTTGAGAGATTTTCACTGTAGGGCACGTGCACTCACCAGACAGACAGAGAGAGACATAGAGACAGAAAGCGAGAAATCACCCCCCAGGGGGGATGGTCACACCACAATCCCTTCTCCTCCATTCTCCTCTCGGGATCTTGGGCACGCACGCACATGCGCCCGGCGTGAGTTTTAAGCCACCGGGTCCGGGACACGAACCACGGTCGACTACGTGGGAGTCCAGCGACATAGCCATTACGCTAACTGCTGGTTCCCAAGCAATGTTTTTTTTTAAAAAATGTATTATGATGATTAATTAATTTGCCATAGGGCACATGCACTTACCAGAGAGAGACAGAAGAGAGAGAAAGTAAGAAAGCAAGCCCCCAGTTCTGGGACTCTTACCATGGTCAGACATGGGGGAGTCCATGCCTTAACCACCACGCCACTCTCTGACCCCTAAAGCGATGATGTTAAAATGCTCAGCACAACGTGCGCCACACAAATATGGCTCTTATCTTATAAACTTGTTGATGTCACAGGCCTATGTTTATCTCACTTCTAATTTATTCAAAACTAGAACGAATACTATTCCAGAAAAGGCCAGAGTTTTTGCGATGACGTGCATTCACAGGGATACTGCCTAGAAAATAAATGTTTTAAAATAAATATTTTTCAGTGGGTAGAACCCGTTCTTGTGCTATCCCTCTGGCCCACAAACACGCACTCTGGTTCCTTCCTTGCCAGAAATAAAGTTTGCTCTTACACAGATGCAGTCATTGACCTTGGTTCCAATTTCTGTTGACGTGTTTATTCCTAAGGTCACTATTCTGTGACTGGTCAACATGGGTCTCGTTTTTTTCCCAATAAGTTTCTAGAAGTCATTGTCATGCCATGCTGTCCTTAAATGTCATGTTTTCTTGTCTTTCTTTTATTCGTGCATGTTGGCTTTTTCGTCTACTGTTTCTCTGACTCTAATGAAATTTCAGATTTCTCTAGGGAACTCCTACATAATCCTCAAGACCCACATTAAAAATTGTCCCAGAGCAAACGTTACTTCCCACTGAGTTAATAATCCCATCCTCTGGATGTCAGTCTCATTTTTAGATGACTAATGGGAATATCACAATCTAAGTAAAGTCTTTTCAAACTCACATACCCAAGGAGCACAATCATGTATGTTTAGAAAAAAGAAAATGATTTTAAAAACCTCACATATGTTTCTGCTTGTGCATCCTTGGATAAGAAACATGCCCTTGTATACAATATAATATTAGCTATTTTTTTTAAGTCCTTCTTTCCCCTCTAGACTGTTAAGTTTCTGAAGGGAAGGATCTAGTTCTGCCTTTTGGTATTCATCAGACCCAGCATAATGATTGTATAAAAAACACTCAATAAATGTTTAGTTAATGAATGAATAAATAGAAGCTAATTTCAATTCATAATAGAGCAAATTGCTTGGGTATGCAGTTGCAAAATTACAAAGAAAAACTGTACTTTTTCTAATATGTATTCAGTTCAAAATCTATTGTATAAATGGAGATTTGGGTGGTGTTGTTCCAGTCTGACAACTCAAATCTGCAAATCACCAGTTATTTTGCAAAAATTCCTTTGGCAATAACTAATATAAAAGGCCATTAGCAGCACAGCCCTGTATTCGAGGCTGCTGCTGACGGATATTATTGAAGACCCTGTGTAAAGGCTACCACCCGGCAGACAGCAAGACCTCGGGCCACACAGGTTGAGGGGGAAGTGGGTGTTATGGCCCACATCATCACAGAATGAGGTTCTCTGAATAGATTTTTTTTTTTTTTTTACTTTGTGAAAGCTTTGTTCATCCCAAGCTAAGAAATGTGATGACTTTCTTTGGTTCTCCTTATCTGCTTGACTGCGATCATAGAGAAGGGCCCATCCCTGAATAGCTGAGGTGGGTGGCACTGAAAGACTGCACATGCCGGGGGCAGCTGTGTGGGCTCACCCTGCAGGCTGCATTCAATGGGGAAAGAAGAAACAACATGGGGGCCAGCAGATGGCAAAGTGGTGACGTCACTTGTCTCCCGCATGGACGACTGTGCTTTGAGTCCCAGGCCCGGTGGCTTGAAACTCACTCATGCAGGGTGTGTGTACATGAGTGTGCAAGATCCTGGGAAGAGAAGGAATTGTGGCATGGCCATCCCCATTGGGGGTGATTTCTCACTTTCTCTCTGACTATCTCTGTCTCTCTCTCCCTCTCCGGTGAGTGTGTGTGCCTGAAGGCAAAAACCTCTTTAAAAAAAGAGAAACAGCAATATGAAGTTAAGTGTAGTTGGTGTTATCTCTGTATTTTAAAGACTAAAATTTGAGTAACTACTGCTGAAGTGGCTGGGAATTTCTTAGAGCTAAAGGATGTACAAAATTGGTAAATATTCATATAAGAAAGTGACCAGCTCTGCATGAATTAGCATGAATTTCACAGTAAAAGAATCAAAATATTGAACCAGCAGGTAGTGAGGTAGTTAAGGAAGCTGGATTCTACATGCCTGACTTCACAGTTTGGGGTGTAGATTTTGTGGCTTAAAACACACAGAGGACTCATGTGCATGCTTACCCAACATTCTAAGAGGAGAATGGAGTAGAGGAGATAACAGCATGACCATCCCTCTTGGAGGGTGATTTCTCACTTTCTCTCTCTCTCCCCACCTCTGCAGTGAGCACATGTGCCCTATAGCAAAACTGAAAAAAAAATCAAAATATTTAGGCTGAAATAACATAAAGATGGTTCTGCTAAACAGATCTGTCAAAAGAATTCTTCAATATTCTTGTGGTAGAATTAATTGATTTAAATAAATAAATATATAAATAAATAACATTACTGTGTAGAGTATCTTCAAAAAGTTCATAGAAAATGTGGGGGAGTGATTTCTTATTTCTGTTTCTCTGTCTGTCTGTCTCTCTGTCTCTCGGCAAGCACATGTGCCCTATAGCAAAAAAATCTATCAAAAAAAGACAAAACAAAACGATTTCCCAATGCCTGTAGCATGGGGGCTAACTGAAATCATAATTTGAAGAATATAAAGGGATGACCTATACAAGCTAGAGAACTCTGGGTAACTTGTTTATACTTATTAGCTATGTGCAAAATCATAAACGTTTTATTCCATGAAATGGGTACATGCGTTGTCTACTAAGTCTTTTGTTGTTTTAGCAAGTCCCAATTTAATAGTTTCTCTTTGATGAGGTTGAAGAGAGGTACCTTAAATAAGTGAATTCAACTGATAGCGCTATCGTTTTTCTAGTGAAAGGGTAGGTAACCCAGTTAGGCAGACACACTTAAACAAATAGAGTCTAAGGGGCTGGCAGGTGACATGGTGGTTAGGGTGCTGGCTAACCCACGTGGCGGACCAGAGTTTGAGTCCCAGGCTTGGTGGCCTGCTTTCTCACTTCCTTTTCTCTCTCTCTGGTCAAATTAAATAATGATAAATAAAGTTAAATCAATAATTCTAGAAAAAAAATAGAACCTAATCAAAGCCTGTTATAACAGGGGTGCACCACACAACAAGTTATTATTCTGAGCTAATATGAAGAACCTCAAAAGATAGAAAAACTAGAGGTCATTTGTAAACCAATCATAAGACACCAATGATGGCATACTCCAGCCACTTCAGATCATATTTGGGTGTGTCCTCAGAAACATTATAGAAGCAAAAGGAAGAGTTGAACAACCAAACAATAAAACCCCAATTTTGAGTAAACTCTTCTTACCCAATAAGAATAGAAATTTTGTTTGCTTTGTTTTCTTCATCTTTGGCTGCAGAGACTTGTAACCAGTTCTTCCTCTGTTGCTAGTTTTGTCAGAGTAACAAATTCTGTGTTCTTCACAGTCAGGAGTTGTGTCTTTTAAATTTTATGCATCTCATCAGCACCATCCCCATGTGTCAACTTATCTCTAGTCTACAGTGGGCTGCCAGGGGTTTTCCATTGTGAAATTCTGATCTTGAGTGTGGGATCATAGCTTAGTCACTTGGCAGTAATCAGTAATGTTAAGAAGCATAGAGATCATAAGTGACGAAATCAACAAAAAGAGAAAAAAATAAATCAAGAAGTCCACTTTCTGTTTGGGCTGGAATGAAACAGATTGCTCTGTGAACTGAATCTCTTAAAATATATGTATTAAAAAAAAAAAAAACTTTCTGCCCTTCCTAAAGTCATAAACGTGTTTGGAAACATTAAAAGTGTTTAGAATAATTTGTTCTCCTAAACCACGTGTTTCAGGGATATTGCTGTGTACAGAGAAAGCTCACGTCATGGGACATAACTGAGCTTAGACATGCAAGGGTTGGACTCAGGTCACCTCACTTGCCAAACTGCATTTTTACTCTGAATCTAAGGTTTTGCTTACCAGTCCAAAGTAATTGTCTTTATTTTAATTTTCTTATTTTATTTGACAACTAAACTCTAGTTGCTAACAATAGAAATCTCTTATTTGTCCAAAGTTTTTAAAGCAGATAAACACACACACACACACACACACCCCAATATAAAACCTCTACTAGAAGATTTTTCTATCGCTAAAAAGTAAACCTACAATCAAACCTACAATCAATAAGCATGCACCATAGATGGTAAGCCTAAAGTGGAAGGGATTAACTTCATGGGACAATAAGACATTTAGTGAGAAAGACATTGCAAAAGCTTAAAGGAAAGACTCCTTCTCTAGGCTGCATCACTACTCCATCCAGCCATCAAAACCATCAAGGGCTTTGATGGTTATCTTCCTGTGTCAATTAGCTGGGCTAAGGACTGTCCAGATAGCTAGTAAAAATTCGCTGGCTGTGTACATGAGGGCATTTAGGGAAAAAATAGCATTACAATCAGTAATCTGAGTAAAGAAGACCCACCCTCACCAATGTGGGTGGGGATAATACAATCCATTGAAGACTCAGATAAAACAAAAAGGCAGTGGAAAGGTAAATTTTCTGTCTAAACATATCTCTGAGCAAAGGATGAGTAAAGTTCCTCAAAACCAATAGTTTGGTGAAAATCAGGCCAGTAAATATGTCTATGGTTGTAACATAGGGTAGCCAGTATAGAAAACAGTATGGAAGTTTCTCAAAAACTTGAAGATAGACTACCATATGATCCTTTCAGCCATCTTGCTTCTGGGTATAAATTCAAAAGAATTGAAATCAGGATCTGTAAGAGATGTCTACATTCCCATATTCATTTTACACTGAAGTTGCGATATTGAAAATCACTATGGGGAACCAGCAGTTAGCGTAATGGCTATGTCGCTGGACTCCCACGTAGTCTACCGCGGTTCGTGTCCCGGACCCGGTGGCTTAAAACTCACGCCGGGCGCGTGTGCGTGCCCAAGATCCCGAGAGGAGAATGGAGGAGAAGGGATTGCGGTGTGACCATTCCCCCCTGGGGGGTGATTTCTCGCTTTCTGTCTCTATGTCTCTCTCTGTCTGTCTGGCGAGTGCACGCGCCCTACAGTGAAAATCTCTCAAAAAAAAAAATCGCTATGCAGTTATTTTTATATTTAACTAGTAGCAAGTTTAATTAGAAAAATAATTTTTTTAAAATTTTTTATTATTATTTTATTATTTCAGAGATAAGGTCAAAACACAGAGTCCTGAGAAGTATGCAGATTTCAAAGGGAGAGCAGAGAGAGACAATGAGGACTGACTTTTGTCTGACTCACAATCAGTTATTACAAATAGTCATTTCCCAAGTTACACTGAAAATTACGTTTTCAAAAATTATTAGCTTCAACAATTTCATCTGAACTCAAGAGTTAAAGCTTAACAAACTGCTGACCAGTTCTTCTCAAACAGGATTGCAGACATTCTCTTATCTCTATACTCTTATTTTTTTAATTAAAAGTATCAGTTTATTTGGGTGTAAAAAAATGATATTCACACATAGTTTTTTGGGTTTTGTTTTGTTTTGTTTTTTTGAGAGGTTTCGCTATAGGGCACGAGCGCTCGCCAGACAGACAGAGAGAAACATAGAGACAGAAGGCAAGAAGTCACACACACACACCCCCGGGGGGATGGTCGTGCCGCAATCCCTTCTCCTCCATTCTCCTCTCGGGATCTTGGGCACGCATGCACA